AAACAAAAAATAAATCACTTTGGGGAAATCTGACTTTGTTAATACTGAGTTCCCATACCCATGTCAGGTGTGCCTTCTTCCTTACAGAGATTCTCACCAAGAGGAGCCCTACCTTTTAAAAATAAATAGTTCAGGGACCAGCAGTTGGCGTAATGTCTATGTCGCTGAACTCCCATGTAGTCCACCACGGTTCAAGTCCTGGACCCGGTGGCTTAAACTCACACTGGGTGCATGTGCATATGTGCCCAAAATCCTGACAGGAGAATGGAGAAGGGATTGTGGTGTGGCCATCCCCCCTGGGGGGTGATTTCTCCTTTTCTGTCTATTTGTCTCTGTCTGTCTTTCTGGCGAGTGCACGTGCCCTATAGCAAAAACCTCTCAAAATAAAAAAATAGACAGTTCAGGGTCAGCAGGTGGTGTGCTGCTTGAGGGTGCTGGACTTCCATATGGCTGGCCATGGTCTGAGTCCCAGCCCTGGCAGCTTGCTTTCTCACTATCCCTTCTCCCCCCCTCACTCTGTCCCTCTCTGGTCAAATTAAAATAAATAGTTAAATTAAATTAAATAATTAAAAAAAAAAAAGACAGTTCAGCTATTTTGAAAGGGGATCAAGTGGGCGGAAAATGTGAAGGAATCGAGAAAGTATTATGGGCAGATATCATGTTTACCTCAAGATGCTTACATCCTTACCAAGTGTATTCTCCAGCTGAGAACCTCCATCAGGGATTCTCTTCTAATGCTGTTTATGGAGGAACAGATGAAATCACAGGGAACAGAAAACATTTTAGCGACTTCAAATTCTCAAGCCCATACAGGTTTGACTTCTCACTCCAAGTTTCCTCTGTAACTGTCCTTGGTTCCCAGGGAAAACACTTAGGACTGCAAGGCCAGAAAGAAACTAAAGAGACATTAAGCAGGGTCTTTGTGTGCAATCATCACAGTTTATATGGCTGTATGTAGAAAGATACACTGACACTGTTAAAAAATGCCACTTAAACACAACAAGAACTAGGCTGTCAGGGTCAGAGACAGAATAGGCCAGTAACAGGGGTGGGCAATCAAAAACAGTGTTCAGAGTACAAGTTCAGATCTTGGCATCCTGATGCAGAAAGATAGAGAGGAAAGATTTTAAAAAATAATAAAAACTAATATTAACTGAAAATGTGCTATTATACCTGTATTTACTGATAAGAAAAAATATACATATAGCTGCAACAGGCTCTCCTGGAAGAAACAATCTGAGTTGTTTAGCCAGGATTAAAAATTCAAAAAAAATAATAATAATTCAAGACCATTTGGCTTCAGTACTGAAGTCTCTCCACCACACCAAGTCCCCAATTAGGGACTGTATAGAGGAGGCCTGGTTGAAATGTATCAGTTGCAGAGTCCTTTCAGAGATGTGAATCAACTTACATGCTTAAGATGGGATAATGAAAAATTCACCTACTTTACTGAATCTTATCAACCCATCTTTCTATCTTTGTACAAGAAATGTACATGTAGCTTTATGTATCACACTCAAGTATCTTCTAATAGTCACTAGGAATTTATTCTTAGTTTTTTATTTTACTCAAGCTTTCTCCCATGTACTTTAAAGGAGGTTACTGTATGGCCATACTTATTCCAAGCTAATATGAACAATCTCACAATGTCTGATAAACATTATGTGGTACAATAATTTGTAACTTGGCAATATTCTGTATACATAATTTGTTCTGCTGATTAGTTTATAATTTTAAAAGCTTTAGTGTCATGTATTATCCTTCATTTATATAATTATTTTCCATAGTCTTTGCTGAAAAAGTTAGGTACTACCACATTAGAAACATGAATTTCTTTGTAAAATTTTATCTATGAAGATGTTTCATCAAAAATTATTACATTAATTGGGCTTTTAGTAACTACTAAGGCTTGAGCAAATACTGAAGCTTTTTCTGTGATCAGTTTATTATGACTTTACATGAATTTTCTGGTGTACAGTGAGTTGGGATTTCTGAATGAAGGCTTTCCCACATATAGTACATTGATAAGGCCTTTCCCCAGTATGAATTCTCTGATGTAAAACAAGGTCTGACTTCTGGGAAAAGGCCTTTCCACATTCAGCACATACATAAGGTTTTTCTCCTGTATGAATTCGCTGATGCCCTGGGAGGTGGGACTTCTGTGAGAAGGCTTTCCCACATTCAGTACACACATAAGGTTTTTCTCCTGTGTGAATTCTCTGATGTCCAATGAGATGTGATTTCTGGCAGAAGGCTTTACCACATTCGCTACATGTATAGGGTTTCTCTCCAGTATGCGTTCTCTGATGAATGATGAGCTGGGACTTCCGGGAGAATGTTTTCCCACATTCAGTACATTCATAGGGCTTCTCCCCAGTATGAATTAACTGATGTGTAATGAGTTCTGTCTTTCTGCTGAAGGCTTCCTCACATTGAGCACATTTGTAGGGTTTCTCACCAGTGTGAATCCTTTTATGTATAATGAGGTGGGACTTCTCACAGAAGGCTTTCCCACATTCAGTACATTCATATGGCTTCTCTCCAGTGTGAGCTCTATGATGTATAATAAGCTGTGACTTCTGGGAGAAGGCCTTTCCACACTCTCGACACGCATAAGGTTTCTCTCCCGTGTGAATTCTCTGATGTATGATGAGGGGTGATTTCTGGGAGAAGGCTTTCCCACATTCATTACATTCATACGGTTTTTCACCAGTGTGAACTCTCTGATGTATAATGAGGGACGATTTCTGAGAGAAGGCTTTTCCACATTCGGAACACTCGTAAGGTTTCTCCCCAGTATGAGTTCTCTGATGTACAATGAGATGAAACTTCTCACTGAACGCTTTTCCACATGCACCACAATCATATGGTTTCTTTCCAGTGTGAATTCTTTGATGTACAATGAGCTGTGACTTCTTAGCAAAGGCTTTTCCACATGTAATACATACACAGGTTTTCTCCCTCGTTTCAATACTCTGATACTGAATAATGGATTGTTTATTGCTGAAAATGTTTCTACACTGATTATCAACACAGGGTATTAGTCCATTGTGAATTTTATCAAGATTAAAATTGGATGCATTGTGGCTAGATGATTTTTCACACCCAAAACTTTCTTCAAGGTTTTTTCTTGAATCACTTGTTTTACAACTAGATAGGTCAACATTTGGTTTTAAGTTCTTTTTAAATGTATCATATTTATAGAGTTTTTGTCTTGCTATATCTGGTCTTATGCACTCTTGAAATCTTTTATGGTTTGAGGTGCCAGTCACTGTTTTATTGTTGATGAATGTGACTTGCCTGAAAAGTTTGTCTTGGTTTTCCTCACATCTCTGTAGCTGGCCATCACCTTGGCAGACTTTTAAAATGGAATACAATGAATCATCTTTTTTTATTCCTTTCAGTGTCTTATTAAGAAAGGAAACAGTCCCCAAAATACAAGATTGGGCATTGTGAAGGTTACTCTTCCTGTCTAAAAAAAGGAAAGATAAAAATCAAACAGTCATAAGAGACAATTGACAGAGTACAGAAAAGTAGAACAAATGGATGAAGAACACAGAAAACAGGGGTGGAGATGAGCCATACTGAAGGACAGTACAAAATACAGTATGATAAGGTGTACAGATAGGTACAAATGTTAAAGAGAAGTATTTATGTAAAAACTAGACCTAAAGAAGATAGTTAAGTGTGTGGATTCTTATCACTGTAATCTTCAATTACTCTCTCCATTTATCCTGCTTTCTAAATTTCTAAATAGAAATTATTGGGACCAGCAATTAGTGTAATGGCTAAGTCGCTGGACTCAGATGTAGTCGACTGTGGTTCGCGTCCCGGACCTAGTGGCTTAAAACTCATGCCAGGCGCATG